CTGGGAGTCCAGTGCATTTTGGAGGAGGGGTGGGAGGAAAATGAGGTCCCTGGGGCCTGTGGTCCCTGGGATCCATGGCCCCCCATTGGTGCGGCTCCTGCTAGTGTGGTTGGAAAGGTGTGTCCCAGCCCTGTACTGGGTAATGTCTTTGAGATCCTTCCCAGCTCATCACAAAGAACATCAAGCCTACACATCTCAGCTCTCCCCTAATGGATTTCTTTCATGGATAGTCTTTCAACTTCCTAAATTTGACATAGTTCAGTAGCAAACATAGCACAGTTTTCACTGGGAATAAAAAGGGGGAAAATTAAGAGGTTGCCCATCAATCTGCTGACAAATTAAGATATACATGGTTTCATTTAGGGGCATGGTGGATAGTGTCATCTCTATGGCTTCAAAAGTGTGATTCAGGACTCCCTGTCAAAGGTTGCTCTCAGCTGATTCAGCTAAGAATGGTATCAGGCAGGGGTGGGTAGGGGGTCAAGCGTGCCTGGATGTGATGCTTGTCCCATCCCTCCTTTCAGTGCTGTTAGCTATGGAAAGTGGCATGTCTACCCGGCTTGGGAGAACCTCTGACCTTTGGGGTTGTTTTATAAAAGAACCAATGGCAAATGCCAACAATAATTTTTTTTTAAATGTACTATATTGCATGATTGGTCCTCATTAAGACATTACAAACACAGAGAATCCTTTGGTGCTATCATGATAATGTACACAGCTGTATGGCTGAGTGGGCATCCATGCTACTGTTGCTTATTGGCCCTAAACCTATGACCACTAAGGATATGAGTGCTCTCCAGATACGATGCTTTCCACTCAAGCAAGCAAGATACCTGAATTTGTTTTTAACTTCTTTTTTTTCTTTCATCATTAATCAGCATGAGTGGACATGATCAAATTGAGAGAGGGATGAGAAGATGACTATATGATCCTTTTCTTAGTCACTTTCTGAGAAAATAGATTAACATTTCATTTAATAGGCAGGAGTCACAGTTTTTCTTTAAGAAAAACATCACAGGCAGAAAGGTGTTCAAGAAGCATATGGGACCAGTTTAGTTACTTCAAGGTAGCCATTCAAAGCACGTATGTTTCAGTGTGTGAAAACTGTGGCACTGATCAATAAATGTGCTGGATTTTCTGTGCAAAATATGGAAATTATATAGAAATTACTAGGTAGAGTTCCAGGGCTTGTGTCATACAGGTGGTTGAATGAGATGAGCATTATGGACATTCTGGCTTTAAACAGCTATAAAAGAGAGTTAATCTTATGTAGGTAGAGTACAGCTGCAACTTTCATTTCAGTCAGAAGACCATTTGGATAACTAACTCTTACTGAAACACAAAAGCTTTGGCTCAGGTTTGTCCTGTCTTGGATCTGTGCTTAGACCTAGTGAAATGGGGTAGAGACAGAGACTGGGCAGCAACTCCCTACTCTTCAGCTCTCCATCCCTAGGAAAGTTTAGAGAAGTAGAGAGCCAACTCTAACTTTCCCACTAGTGTAAACATATCACCTGCTGATGAAAGATCAAATGTAATGGTTCCTGGCTCTGTTGTGTTCCCAACCTGTGCCCAAAATATCTTTGTCTGTCTCTTCCACCACAGGTGAAGAAGTTGGAAGAGAAAGTGTGCAAGTGGCACAAAGAAAATATGGTGGACCAGAGACTCTGGCCCTTCTGTCTGCGTGAAGAGGCCTTTAGTCTTAAAAATTGTTTAACATACATATATACATATACGTATATACTTATACACACACACACATTCCTACAACAATGCATCACTGCTGATCATGCTATAAAGTCTTAGAGGATGAGGTAACTGAGAAATAAGCAAAGATTACACAGTAAAAAGAAAAAAATGTCAATTAACAATGTATACTGTGTTTCAAAATGTCCTTGCACCTGGTTCTCATTTGTCCTTCAATTCAGAAACTAAAGACAACTTTTTTATTGCTTTTTGTCAAAGAGAAACTTCCCTTTAGCATGGAACGATCAAACAGCAAGACTCCCCCAGCTCTGGAAGGGTTAGCTTTCACTTTCAACTTGTTCAATCATCATTAACTCTGAAAAACGTCACATTCCATTTGTGCAAAGAAAATTTCATGAGTAGTCCATTGTGAGGGAAAAGTTGAAATAAGCTGGACTCCAGAATCTAATTGTTTATTTCACACAGTCTCAAAACCATTTATCTTGCATTTGAAGAGGCAAATTCACAGGGGCAGAGACCTCAAAGAAAAAACACATCGCACCTGTTGCAGCTGACATCTATCTAGCTTCATGTTGTCTGATGCAGGATCAGAAATAGCTTGGCAAAACAAAAGTGAAATATCTTTATTGAGGATTGTCCAATTATAACCATTTTGCTGTTTAGTCTGTAAGCCTGGGAACACTCAAAATCAGCATTTCTCAGACTGCGACTGGCCTCCCTGGAAAGGCTGGTGCCATAAGCAGACTCAAAAAACCCACTGGAAAATGGGACAGAATTGGGACAGGAATTTTGGTTCCGATTTGATGAAGCTAGAGGGTGTCTGCAGATGTGCAAGAAAGCTGCTCCAACGTGCAGTAATTATAGCACGTTGGAGCAGTCTCAATTAATTGAGATTGCTGGAGCGTGTTAATTAGCACGCTCCAGCAGCCTCCATGTCTTGTGTATTCTAGTCTCCCCGCACTTCAAAATAGCGGTGGGGGCACTTTAAAGCTTGTCAAATGAGCTTTAAAGCATCCCTGCTGCCATTTTGAAGAACAGGGCTGTGTGTAGACGAAACGAGAGGCATGTGTGCGCGACACTTTAAAGCAGGTTAATGCTTTTTTACCACTTTAATAGTGTTGGTGTTTGCACGCTTTGGCAGCATATTGCGCATTAATTCCAGCCGTTGTAGGAAATTCGGCAGCGTGATGCACCTTAAATGACTTGGGGAGCAGCAAACTTAAAACTCCTTCGAGGGATTTTAGTTTGCTGCCCCTACAGCTTCAGAACGAAGCACCGGGCTCCGCGCAGCTCCACAGCTCTGCAGGAAGCCCTGCAGGCAGCCTGGCAGCAGCCCGGGGAAAGCAGGCTCCGCCCAAGAAAAGCGGCGAGCCTGATCTTTTTATTTCCCCACCCTGGAGCCTGCCTGCCTACCTGAGCTGCGTGGGGGCCCGGTGCTTCCCTCCGCAGCTGTGGTGGCCCCCAGGACTGCCTGAGCTAGGTGCTTGCGAGCGGATGCTGCCTGGGGGGGGCGCTGCTGCTGCGGAGGGAAGCACCAGCTGTCCCCCCCCACAGCTCAGGGACCGCTCCGCCCACTGGCAGCTGGCCCTCCCCTCCCTGCCAGAGGCAGGGAAGTCAGTGGGATGTGAGCATGACATGGGGGTTTAATTAGCCCTAAATTGAAGAGGTATTTTTTAAAACCCACAGCTTCAATTTAGGGCCCCTGTTTCATCTACACACGCCCCAGGACACTGAATACACGAGATGCTGTGGGTGCTTTAATTAGAACAGCTCTCGAAGCCACTCTAATTAAAGCACCCTACCCCCACCCCCAGAGCACATCTAAAGATGCCCACAAAGAACAGTATTCATAATGAATA